CATTCCTAGTTAACTAGCGAGATTTTGTTTAATATTTTCCATAATAGTTTAGAACTTAAATTCACTCTATCAATTTGCAATTTATTAAAAAAATTAACACAATTTTTTCCCAAAAATTTTCTTCATTAAAAAAAATGTGTTTTCGATCAACCAAAATTACTTAAATTATAGCCTTGACGATGATTACCTTACAAATTAAAATGCATGCAACTTTTTTGGCTGTCTTTATCAAATGATAAATGAACACTCCTGTTATGATTTATAAAAATATTTAGGACTACAAATAATTTTCAAATAAAAATTAAGTTAGAAGGGTTAAAGAAAGAACGTAAATACCACTTCAAGAACTAATGATAATTGTCAATTTTCATTATTATTAGTCACTTATATAAAGTAAACCTTATTTAACTTTTAAATTATTTAGTTTTGCTTTTTAATAATTTTTTTAAGTCATTGAATATTAGTTACTCTTATATAATTATATCACTAATCTCCATTAACTTTTGTCCAACAATTGAACAAAAAATACTTGGGTGAAGCGAATAAATTTTAGAATCCTCGAAAGTTTTAGTGAAGGTCAAAAATTTGAAATTTTCAAAAGATTATTTGTGTTGAGTTCCACTTAATAAAGTCCAGTGCCATGAGGCAGAGAAAAAACTTGTCATTAGGGTTGACCACCACTTATCTCAAGCTAAGTGCCATATTCCACCAGTGCTCTTGGTTGAGTGCTACTTGATTTGCACTTAATGCCACTTGGACAAACAAATGAGTCTAAGTGCACACGTCCAACGTGGGATGACTGTACTGAACGTCGATTGTACATAGACCTATGTTTGAATGAATTCGCCTAACATAATAGTGTTTTGACACTGGGTGTTGATTTATTCACATAATTTTTAATTTTTTGTTTTCCGAAGTGGGAAGTGGATTTTGAAGACCTATGGGAGTTATTAAGGTTTCTTGGAAGACCTTTATTTTCTTTGTTGGCTTTCCATCTTCTATTCATATTTTCTTTTTGGATTTTTATGAGAACGAAAAGATTAAACTCCAGTTAAATGTAATCAACTAAACTCTCCTATATAAATTGGTATTGTTTTATGTATATTAATATCTTTCTATTTAATGTTCATATTTTGTTTCTATGTTTAATGTGTGTTGTGCTTTGATCATACGTATATTGATATTTGATTTCTTCGGATTGAAAAGTGATCTTCTGTGATTTAGAATTGAAGCAAAATATCTAATGAAGCTTTTATCTAAGAATGAAGTTTTATTCATTAGTTTTCTTAAGCCCTTATTATGAAAGTAGTTTCCATATTTTTTATTATGAAAGTAAGTTCCCATAATAAAACAATGTTAAACACTAAACCTTAAACCATTAGGATTGATAAATTTGTGGATTCATTTAACATTAAGTTGGAAAGACAATGACTAATTGTATGATGAAGTTTTAACCCTAACAATTACTTACTTATAACTGGCTTTATCATTCTTTTTATTTTGTTTATTTTTATCTTTTATTGGTATTTTTATTATTACTTTTTCCATAATTAAGGTTTTTATTGAATAAATCAGGAAATATAAATATTTTATTCCTATTTATGAAAATATTGTGTAAATAAGTGGAAACCATTAAAGATTAAAGAATGTTTCACAAAATAATTTATCAACAAATGAAGCTGGCTTCAATTACAAAATAATAAATGGGAATAATGAAGATGGAAGAATATCTCAATAAAATCAATTGTCAATATATGTGGTAACTTCAATACAAAAATCGAGTACAAATTTCAAGTTTAATCCAGTTTTGGCCCATTCTTTAGTGAACCAAACCAAGTCACTCATCAAAGAGAAATTACTGACTAGCGAGCCAATTCACCCAACAAGTCGTAGGTTTCAAAAATTTATAAATAGAGGGTTTGCCAGAGTTAAAAATTCACTCTTCTAAAGAAAGGACACTTGACCTAAAAGGATAGAAGGTAGAGGCGCATCCAGGAGGTTGAAGGCATTCATCTGTATCTTTTATAGAGTTCAAAATGTATAGGAATAACTAACTCCCTAATTCAACGGTTTATATAATGTATCTTAACTCTTTAGATTTCACTATTCAATATTTTTTTCACTACGTGGATGCTGTAAGTGTAAAAAGGACAAGAGGACGGACAAAAAAAATAGGTTGGAAGAGAAAAGAAGGAAAAGAAAAGGTTAGAAAAGGAAAAAAAAATGGAACAAGAAACAAAAAAAAAAAAACAAGAAAAAAAGAAACGGAAGAAATAGGACAAGGTTACAGGAGAGGGAAGCAAAAGAGAGAAAGGTAAAGAAGGGGACAGGAAAAAAAACCACCAAGAAAAAAGTCACAACAGAAAGCGCAGGTAGGGGTAAAGGTAGCCAGAACGGGTTCAGTAAGGTTAGGGACAAAAATCAATATTTTTCTTATTACTAAAGTTTCTTATACTAAATTTAGTAAATAATTATAGTTTAACTTAATCACATTAGTGTATTGAGAAATGATATGTTAGCTTATTTACTTTATTATATGATTTGATACACTTATCAATTTCATAACACTCATCATATTGTTTTTTTTATTTATTATAACTTTGAGGTGTTTGATAAAATGGTTTAAAATAATATTTATTTTTGCATACTTTTAATCTTAAATACTAAAACAATTTATGAAAACATTTTTTTTTCAAAATTAGTTATGAATCACAATTATTGTCATGCTAAAGTATTTTGGAATAATAATTAGTTGTGCAACTAATGCACTTAACATAAACAAATCACGTTAATACTAAATAAACTTTATTTATTTAAGTGTTTCAAGTTTTTTTACTTATTTGAGTCTGAAAGAATATTTAATAAATTTGTAAATTAATAAATAAAAAAAAAATGTTGGAAGAGAGTGTTAAATAGTACTATTAGCTGTCATTCAAAATATTATAAAAAGTGCTATAAATGGAATATACGGTGTTACAAATGTCTTGTTTCCCATAAAAGAGCTTTATCTAATTAAGTCAATAGAGATTTTTATCCCTTTTTAATATACGAGTATTAAATTATGAGTGTTATCTCTTAAAATGAGAGTAGATAAATGAGATGGGTCACTAAAAAAAAAAAGAGAAATTTAGGTTTTGTATTATCATGGGGAAAACAATAGTTAAAAGAAAAGTAATTCTATGTGTGACAATAAAAATACTAAAAAATAATTAAGAACTCAAATGGAGTTATTGGGTTATCCAAAATTGGGAGCAATAATGGAAACAAAAGGCCTATTAAAAAAGATAATGAGAAAATAAAAGACAATGACAAAACAAAGGCCAAATATTTAGTTTATACAAAATTATGGTACTCATGTTTAAAGCTGTAAAAATATTTAAGCATAATATGGTTTTTTCTTCATAAGTTTTATATTTTGCATACAACATTTAAAAGCAACTATTATGGGATTGTTCTAATTTAAGCACTTTTTGACTTCATGTCTTGATAAACAACTTGTAAAATTATAGAGAAATTTTGTTGTCCTATTCAGTTGGAGCATCAAGTGTTTTTTTTTTTTTATTTATTTATTAGGTTAATGTTAAGTTAATTTTATAAATCTTATCATTAATGTCAGATATAATATTCAAATGTTCTATCTATGCATACTTTTCTTCAAAGCATACATTTTTCACCAAAGTTATTTTTACAAAATATTTGTATAAATACTATCTTATTATATATTAATAGATTTTGTTAAGCAAAATGGTTAACTAAAATTATTTTTGTAAACTATTACATTAGAGATTAATTTAATATTAAATTATACTAAACATGTAATATCAAATGAAGAAAGAAATAATCGTTAATAGGGATGTTTAGATAATTTTTGTAAGTATTTATAGATAATAAACTGAAAGGTGAAAAAATAAATTTAAAATATATTTTGACAAATTAATTTTCTCGTACAAGACACGCTGGCACTTACACGATTATTTTTGTGGTGTTATGAACTTGAAATAGTTCAAAATGTCGTTTTGAGTTCAAGGACACGTCGTATTGAAGCAGTGATCGTGTATGTATCGCTTTGTCGTTTGAAGCGCTCATCACGCGCAAACATGGTGATTGTAACCAACGTCACCACCATCATAAGCATCGCCTTCTCTTTGTACCGTTAATCGAATGTTCTCCTACCTTGAGCCATGTCCACCCCGTCAGATTCGCGACGCCGGCATCGCCGCGGACGCAGTCGACGGCTTCAACTCTCCGGCGAAGCAGAAAGCGGCCAGTCGAAGTGCCTACGGCACCGCCCCCTTCTCTCCCTCCGCCGAGCCAAACATTTTCATTAGGAATATATAATATATTAATTTTATCAATTTAATTAATTAAAATCAGAGAATTTCAAATTTCACCTGAAAATTAAGAATTTAAAATTATGCATACTATTACTTCTCCTAAATCGATTATTCTTTTCTTCATATTCTTTCTTCGGCTCAATCTCAGTTGGGATGTCACAAACTTTACTTTGGTCAGGATACTGTTAGCTCGACATCACTTTTTGACAAATGTCTACCAGAGTTTCTTTTAGGTTAATATGAATCATGTTTATTTTTGGTTGCCAACAGCCAAGTTATTTTTTTGCCAATGTTATTTCCCAACAAATGTTACTTAGAAATTTCTTTGTTACCATCAAGGTTGTTTTGGTTGTTTTCAAGCTAATGCTAAACATGATTTTTTTCGGGGTAGTGTTAATTAGGATTATGTTACAGATAATGTTAGTCAAGGTTATTTTTCAACCACTTGAATAGAAGTTATTCTCGGTTGACATTGTTGGGATTATTTATTTGCAGAAGTCAAGTTTACTTGTTGGAATTATTTATTTGAGAAGTAAGTCAAGTTTACTTCTTGGTTACCGTTTGTCAACATTTTCGGTGGATGTTAGCCAAATTTTTCTGGTTGAATTGTAGTGATTATTTTTTGTCGATCTCTGTACAATTTTTTTTATCCACGTCACTAGTGTTATATAGTGATAATTTTTGTATTTGGTAGTAAGTGAAATACTCTTTCCAAACAAGTAAACTACAATTTAATAAATGTTAATTATTTTATCCAAACACAACATCTGAAAAATTAAATAATTTGAAATGTAAACAATTCAAATTTAATGAATTTAAATTTCTTCACAATTGTAAAATTATCTACCCAATCACAAGGTTAGTGAAAAATAATAAGAATAAAAAATGAAATGAAGTTTTTCATAAGTTAAAATTACTTTTATACATAAGTCAATCCAGTTCAAGAAGAAGTTAATTTCAATTTTTCTTTCCAAAAGTGCTTAGGAAGAACTTTTTCTCTCAAACAATTACAAATCTATAATGTGTTAGGGAATCAATCTACCATCATGACTATCCTTAGATAGGAATCTCAAAATCCTTTGCTAACACATATCATGGTGAAAAAAACAACCTAAAACATCATAAAGCACCTTTTACTTAGAGAATTTGTCCAAACGATGCCATCTAATTGCAAGATTAAGTAACGGGAACTCTATTTTAAAGCAAAGAATACATATAACAAAACTGTTTTCTTTTTCTTTTAAATCCAAACCAAACTGATCATGTTAAAACTACTTTTCATTTCTGAACAAAAACTCTAATTATAATGGATCATGATAATAAATAATCCATTATATATATATATATATATATATATATATATATATAATTAGTGAAATAATTTAATTACCACAACCATTCTAAATCAACCCTAAAAAGAACAGATCCATCAGAATAAAATAAAATTGCAGAGAAGAAAAACAGATCTAATATTTTTATACCTTGAAGTAACCGAAGAAGGGTTGTGAAGGTGCCAACCCATCCACGAACTGAGTCTGGCGGTGATCAAAACGACGGCGGAGAGAGCAAACAGCGCTAAGAAGAGCTTGAACTTGGCGGCACTGAGGAAATGTTTGGCTCGGCGGAGGGAGAGAAGGGGGCGGATGCCGTAGGCACTTCGACTGGCCGCTTTCTGCTTCGCCGGAGAGTTGAAGCCGTCGACTGCGTCCGCGGCGATGCCGGCGTCGCGAATCTGAACGGAGGTGGACATGGCTCAAGGTAGGAGAACATTCGATTAACGGTACAAAGAGAAGGCGATGCTTATGATGGTGGTGACGTTGGTTACAATCACCATGTTTGCGCGTGATGAGCGCTTCAAACGACAAAGCGATACATACACGATCACTGCTTCAATACGACGTGTCCTTGAACTCAAAACGACATTTTGAACTATTTCAAGTTCATAAAAAAGAAAATAAATTTGATGTGTGACAATAAAAACTACTCAAAATGTAAGAACTCAAATGGAGTTATTTGGGGTTATCCACAATTGGGACAATATGACACCAGGCTATGAAATATAATGAGAAAATAAAAGACAATGAACACACCAAAGGCCAAAATTTAGGTTATACAAAATTTGGTACCATGTTGAAAGCTGCAAAAATATTTAAGCAGCATATGGTTGTTTCTTCTTCATAAGTTTTATCTGTTCATCAACATTTAAAAGCAACTATATTGGAATTGTTCTACTCTTTAAGCAACTTTTGACTTCATGTCTTGATAAACAACTTGTAAAATATATAGAGAAATTTTGTTGTCCTATTCAATTGGAGCATCAAGTGTTTTTTTTTTAATTTATTTATTAGGTTAATGTTTAAGTTAATTTTATAAATCTTATCATTAATGTCAGATAATAATATTCAAACTGTTCTATCTATGCATACTTTTTTCTTCCAAAGCATACATTTTTCACCAAAGTTATTTTTACAAATATTTGTATAAATACTATCTTATATATATTAATAGATTTTGTTAAGCAAAATGTTTAACTAAAATTAGTTTTTGTAACGATTACTTAAGATTATATTTATTATAAATTAACTAAACCTGTAATATCACATAAGAACTAAATCGTTTAATAGGGCTGTTTAGATAATTTGTAAGATTTATAGATAATAACTGATATTGTAAAAATAAATTTAAAATATATTTTGACAAATTAATTTTCTCGTACAAGACACGCTGGCACTTACACGATTATTTTTGTGGTG